GGAAACATGTATCTCCAACTCCAAGAAAGCTTTAACAACGTTACACAAACGGAACTGAATGTGAGATCGGGACACACACTTTCATTCATTTCCTTGCTAGCTAGCTGGCTAGCTAAGCGGCACCGGAGTTACAGGGTTGTTGCATAAACACACCTAAAATCAAGCCACAACACTACGCACTTAACATTGTAAATGCACATATTCTTAAAAACAGTTAAAGATGTTCGCAAGAATGTTGCTTCGGTCTACCGCGGAGCTAAACGTTAGCACAGATAGCATAGCAAGCTAACTTTAAAGCTGGCTAAAGCGTGTATAACGGTTTCGTTTTATTTTAATCATTAGAGCCCACTCACCGCCTCCATACACTCCGCCACTCATGGTTTGGATTATCTCAACGGCAACAATCTTAATATAAGTTATTAAAGCAGAAACACAACCGCTAAACGGTTAATCACAACAAAGGGAGTATGTTAGCATGGATCAATCTAACAAAGCAGGCGCCACACGTCGGACCAATCAGGACGCAGCACAGCGTGGGTACTTCCGCTTCAGCTGTGACGGAAACATCCTGCAAGTACTTCCATGCTCTGAAGTGGACGTGGCCCTGCGTTCTTTATATCAACGTGAGTGATAAACTGATACATAAGAAGCACTAACTTACTTTTAACCATTACAAAGTTATGTGCATGAAGTGTAAGAGCATGTTTTATAATGCTGAGGTGATGTTAGTGAGTGTTTACTGCAGGACCTTGGATCACGGTCGTTTAGACTAAACAAGATTGACGCTGATCTCGGCAACCATGTCACTTCAAGCTGCAAAAGTAGCAACACTACTACTTATTTGCAATATCTGAAATGCTAACTTCGCATTATTATTTTTAGTGTGTACATTCAGTGATATTGTAATTTCTTACTGTTTGGTTTTTATGTTCTTAGTTCCATATTTAAAGTCCAATTTTGCACAGCCTCGTGGTTGTCCAAAGTTGGGTTAATGCGCAAGCGCACAGGTTGTAAAATGTTGAGTAACTTGTTTGCTAGATATTTTAAGTCTATGAAGATGTGTGAGTTTATAATTGATAGACTATCCAACTCCACAAGCATGAGTAATATCTAGTCACAGTTCTGATGCATATTGATTAACGGTTGGCTTGTGTTATGTTCACTTCCTGCTATGTTGTATACAGGCACATATTTTATATGAGAATAAAATGCATTTTCAGTATTGATCTATTGTATAGTGAAAAAAAGCAATGGAGGCCAAGGTGACCTCTCAAAATTGCCTTTTTAGTGTCAGCAACAGTGCAAAACACGCAGAGATTTGTTTTCATTACATTGACAACTATCAAAAGCAGAACATGTATTTACATTTTAAACCTTTGAAACCAGTGGATATTTGGTACAGTAAAATTGGGAAACGTGATATCAATTAACACATTTGTTGTAGATTAATCTTAAATCAATATGGTTCATTTTGATTAATCGACTTGTCTTTTCGGAACGAATAAGAATATCTTTAACAATTCTGTTATGTAAATGATACCTAGGAATCAATATAACTAAAAGTTCCTATTTTTATACCAGCAGTCTCTGGTCAACACCTGTTGACTGTCGTCATTCCCTGAAGGACATTAACTGTGTCCTGCAGATGACTATGACGCAGTTCAAGCTATTTTTTGAAGTAGTTCATTCATTTTGAAATTGAACGTTAACTTTTGAGTTCGAAAACAGCAGATACGGATTTGAATGGTCCCGTAATTGATTAATCAATTGACGTACAAATGCTAAGATATTACTTTGATAATCATGTAATTGATTTTTTAATCTATGAAACAGATATTCTATGATTCAGGATTTGCAAATGTGAGAATTTGTATAGTTTTCCTTTTTTTATTTTAAACTGAATAATATATAATTTTTCGAAATGTTATTGACTAAACCATTGCTCAATATATCTCAAATACTTAATCAACAGAATAATAACTATGAAGGTTCCAGCTCTAAACATAACAAGCTCATCTGAAAGCTTTTCTTAGTCAACAATGTCAACAATCCTTTATACATGATGTTCCATTTTTTTAAACTTGTAAAATAACTTTTTAACTTGGTTTACTTCCAGCACCCATGCAGCGCTGCCTCACCCTGACCTTTGCCCGTCACAGCCGGCTCCTATTGAGAAACAAATTTGCATCTGCCCACTGCCAGCAGTCAGCAGCCATGTCAGGTCTCCTCATCAACCAGCCCAAATACTCCTGGCTGAAAGAACTGGGCCTGTCTGAGGACAACCCTGGCGTTTACAATGGGAGCTGGGGAGGCAGCGGCGAGGTCATCACTTCATACTGTCCTGCCAACAATGAGCCAATCGCCAGAGTGACCCAGGCGACCATGGCAGAATATGAAGAAACTGTCCAGAAGACGAAGGAGGCTTGGAAGATATGGGCAGATATTCCAGCTCCCAAAAGAGGGGAGATAGTGAGGCAGATTGGAGATGCACTTAGAAAGAAGATTAACGTCCTTGGGAGCCTGGTGTCTCTAGAAATGGGCAAAATCTATGTTGAGGGAGTGGGAGAAGTTCAGGAATACGTTGATGTCTGTGATTATGCTGTTGGTCTGTCGAGAATGATTGGTGGGCCAATGCTGCCATCAGAGAGACCAGGGCATGCCCTGATCGAACAGTGGAACCCAGTTGGTCTCGTCGGTATCATCACTGCCTTCAACTTCCCAGTGGCTGTCTACGGCTGGAACAACGCCATCGCTCTGACCTGTGGCAACGTCTGCCTCTGGAAAGGAGCTCCAACCACACCCCTTACAAGTGTTGCAGTTTCTAAGATCGTGGCCGAGGTGCTGGAGCGGAACAACCTGCCTGGTGCTATCTGCTCCATGACCTGCGGAGGTGCTGATATCGGCTCAGCCATGGCGAAGGATGAGCGGGTGGATCTGGTGTCGTTCACCGGAAGCACTAACGTTGGCAAGATGGTGGCCATGACGGTGCAGGATAGGTTCGGTCGTAAGCTTCTGGAACTCGGTGGTAACAATGCTATCATCGTGTTTGAGGATGCTGACCTGAATCTTGTGGTGCCCGCCTCCGTCTTTGCAGCTGTGGGAACCGCGGGCCAGCGCTGCACCACCACCAGGAGGCTGATGCTGCACGAGAGCGTCCACGACACAGTGGTTGAGAGGGTCGCCAAGGCCTACAAACAAGTCAGAATTGGAGACCCCTGGGATCCCACCACCCTTTACGGGCCTCTGCACACCAAACAAGCTGTGGATCAGTATCTGGCAGCTATTGAGCAGGCCAAGCAGCAGGGTGGCACCGTCGTCTATGGCGGAAAGGTGATGGACCGCCCTGGAAACTACGTAGAGCCCACCATCATCACAGGGCTTGCGCATGACGCTCCCATTGTCCACACTGAAACCTTTGTCCCCATACTGTACGTCCTCAAGTTCAAGACAGAGGAGGAGGCGTTCGCCTGGAACAACGAGGTGCAGCAGGGCCTGTCCAGCAGCATCTTCACCAAAGATATGGGTAGAGTTTTCCGTTGGCTGGGGCCCAAAGGATCCGACTGCGGCATCGTGAATGTCAATATTCCTACAAGTGGAGCCGAGATCGGAGGAGCCTTTGGTGGAGAGAAACACACGGGAGGCGGAAGAGAGTCTGGCAGTGACTCCTGGAAGCAGTACATGAGGCGTTCAACCTGCACGATAAACTACAGCAAGGATCTTCCTCTGGCCCAGGGAATCAAGTTTGAGTAAAGCCTTCGAGTGATTTGTTTGAGCTTTCAATGATCCCAAAAAGACAACACTAAGTGTTTTAGAGGCAGAGTGTTACCCAAGAGATGCTAGACAGTTATCATTGCATTTCTGCATTCTGAAAATTCCGTTAGAGTTTTACAAAATGTCTAATCATTTGGGATCGGTTTCATTTTTGTCGTTTATCAGATCTTTCTATTGTTGTAGCATCAGATATTAATCCTTGTATGAAAAAAGTTCATGGTTAAAGGTCAAATACTGTTCCCCCACTTGTTGGTGTGCACTTTTCTACTAGCACTTACAAAGTTTAAGTGCTAGATGTCTGTAACATATACTATATATACGGTGTAAAAAAAGAATAAATGATACCTTTTATTTTGGAAGAACAACTGGCGTGAACTCATTCATGTATAGATGAAATCATTGGAGTGCTAATAGCATTTTGGCATTGATAAATGAAATTTTGTCATTAACATTTCAAATTTAAAAGAGGTAGCTATTAAAACACTCAATTAAATGCTTTTGTCTACATCTAAAGCACACTATAACAGAATATGCTTTCCAGAAAATAAAAAAAATACTTCATGTCGACATTTGGAGTGTGCTGACGTTTTTTTTAATCAACTTTCATAAAGGGGATTTGAAGAAGAACCAGGAGTCCCTTACACCTGGACCAGTACGACATCAGAACATAGAATTGCAGCTCTCTAATCTTTATTGTTTTTCCCCTGGGTCAATCAAGTATCAAAAGCCTTTGAAAAAGATGTAGCTATAACAAGTTTCTCAAACACCCATTACAATACATTTCCAATTACGATCCTCTGTAATGAGTTGCATCTTAAAATAAAAAACAATGAAAGACATTATGTATTTGGTATGATTATATCCTGATTTGACATAGTAGCATGCACAATAGAATGAAACACTGAGGGCACTAAATTGAATAAAGCCATTGGTCAGTTTTCTTATTTGCACCTGCGATTTAACCACCATGACATCACAGATGTTGAATTGTCTTCAATGAAAAACTATTTCAGATTTCCATTCTGGGGATAGGATCTCAGTATCTTCTATTGTAAAGTATATCACTATAGTATTAAAGACCAAAATCTCTGTCCCTTTAATAGAAATACTACTCCATCTCCCATCCGCCATGCCATCCATATGCTCACCCTCCCACTCGGCAGCTCTCTGCCTCATACTCCAGCTCGGTCTCTCTCTCTCTCTCTGCATTTATTGCTCCTCCCAGCAACATCTCAGCTGAAAGGCAGAACTGAAACGACAGCGCTCTGTACGACTCATAATCGAAGCCATTTAGGAAGTATGCAGAAAACGCTCCCTCTGCTACTCATCTGAATTGGAAAAGGTAGAAAAGCTTTTATTATTTGCCTAATTTTAGAGGTTTTGGGTATGCATTAGTGTGCACATATAGTGTTTCCTATATTCATATTATTAATTTGAAATGCAAGTCAATGTATATCTTGGTAAAAAAATCCAAGTAAACCAGTTTGAAATAATATTTGTATTCAAGACAAGCTCAAAGGAAGCCCTTCAATGTGGACTTGGAGCATCATTTCAGTTAATACAGACTTGGGTGTGGAGCCCAAGCTAACAGTTAAGTCACCACTGCAGAACTACAGTAACAGAGGAAACACTGGTGGCTGGTATTTTGGTTGTGAGCTCATTAAACCGATCTATCATCAAAGGTTAGGCTTGGCGACTATAGGTAATGCCTTATTTCGTGCTCTGAACCTGGGGGGCACTAAAATGTCTTCTGGGCTCATGGTTATAAATTAATGATCATCTGGTGTCCTATTAGTCGCAGCTATGACAGGATGCATTTGAATAAGGTTAGCACATTAGGGTTGTTCCTCGCTTCCCTTAAAAAACAAATCCCATGCAAAGCTTGTGTGATTCACTTCTTTGGAAACTCAGAGCATGTTAGTTCATGCTTTATGTTGCTTGTTGCACCTCTGATTTACAGAAGTGTCTGGGATTCCCCTGGACTGAAACACTCTCACTTCTTCTCTTTGCACATTTCCTCTGCAGCTTCTCCCTGAAACAAAAAGCCATAAACGTCTGTCATACTCATTCTGCTGTTAATTGACTCTTTCATGTACATTTTACTCATGTGCTTAACAGGTGCTTACATTCGGGCAAATTATAATAAAGATGGGTATGAAACATTCTTCATGTTACTTTAAGTCACAGCATAGTCTTTTTAGCTATTAGATATTGTGTTCACCTGTTCAGCAATTTATATGTGCATGTTTTTTTATAATTCTGTTCTCGAAAGGAGACAAACCAGTTTATTTTTGTTAAATGTATTGCAGCAAGATTAAAATACTTTTGTTGATGTCCCTCCTGTAGTACAAAAATAAGACATCATAATTCTCTACTGCGTGTACATGCCTCTGTTCTGCTGTATTCACTTGGACAGCAACAGTGCTTGGCCTTTGCCATCAGCAAGCCTGACTCCACAATCGGTGTCCCGATAGTGAGACTCCAACAGAACATGAGAGGCATAATCACAGAAATGATGAGGGCTCTTCACAAAGCTGCCGCTGTGACAGTCTCTCATGGGCCAGCAACAGCACAGAGATTAGACAAGAACCTGATACAGGGACAGAGCAAACTGCTGGTAGTTACGCTCTAGACTTACACATGATCTGAAGTGATCTCTTCTGAGAAGCTACACGTGAATGTCAGTGTGGATTCTTGTTACGTGTCCAACAAAGGATCTGCTGGGGATGGATAGCTGATGTGCCAGAAGTAAAAAACATTCTTGTTCAGATGCAGTCCTACCAACCATACATTCTGATTCACATACAATGGAGGAAGTTTTATGATTGTCTGCCCCTGCAAAATAACATGCACAATAGCAGCACACATGAGCCAATACCACAAGAGTACTTATATTTACAAACAGTATAAACATTTTTCAAAAAGACAATGTGTTGTTTAAAGAGATAGTTCCTCAGCAGCGTTTGATTCGAGATGGATAATTTCAATTGGGCTAGTCAAGCACAAGCTCTGCAAGTCAGAAAGTAAAACCCTGAAACTGTCAACATCTATTTTCCTCATCACACACAGAGAGAGAGAGAGAAGTGGTGTGTGAGCCCAGCGAGGCACGCATATTTTAAGTCACTTTGCACTCTTCAAGAGGGCCCTTTTTTCAATAATCCATTATGCATAGCAGCTCTGGCTCTCCCTGGTATTTCTCCTACCTTCTTGACGTCAGTTGCCATTTGTGAGGGTTACCCTGGCAACGGCCAGCCTCCCCGGGAGATGTCTGGTGGATAAGACGGCCCTGATAAAGCCTTTTAAGGTTCTACTGTTGCTACACCTTTTAATTGCCTTTGATACAGTGGAAGTATTACATGGGGGTCGTCGGGGAGTGTCTCTACATGTGGGCAAAAAATGGGAACGTGCAGATAAAAATAGACATTGAGGAGCTGCTTCAGATTGAGGTCCCATTATCTTCACTTGATTCGATCACCCACGTATTGGGTCAATTTTTTAGCTGTTCTGTGAAACTGAATTGTGCATGATAGGTCTATTTTTGGACACGATTTGCTCTACTCCTCCGTTACACGAACGACACGAGTTTACAACCCATTCTAACAATCTGAAATTGTAGTGATGAGATAACATGTAAATAATAGATAAAGCATCTTGCTGGTTGTTAAGCCTCTGAACAATACGTGGATGTAATTAAGAGATGATATGAAAAGACCGTACATCAACCACGTTGTTCATGTAAGCTATTAGACTGTAATAACTCTGGCAAGGAAACATATTTATGCACATTATTGATATTATATTATAGTATATTAAAATATATAATGGCAGCAGGGACTATTTTTAATTTTGCATCTATGCAAAACATCAGATGGCAGAAAGCAGGATGAAGAAAACTGCTGTCTACAAATGCCAACCTGTTGTTAGTTTTAAGCTTTATTTAAATACATGGATACCAAAACTGTAAAACCTACGTCACATTCAAATGATTTCATTCAGCTGCCTGACTGTTACTGTAATTTACCGCACAACCCATGCAAATTTGCATTGATGCAAAAACATCTCACTGGTGCGCAACAATACAGTTCAGATACTGTAGTGTACGCCATACCTGTTCCAAGCTCCAGGAGGCTATTTATAGCCTCACCAACATGTGTGTCTTTCTTTTTTTTCAGACACCAGGCTATTGATGTGCTATTTTTACAGTGTCAACGTGCTCCCTCCCTCTCTCTTGTTGCCAAGCAATGGGATAAGGGACCCGATTGGCCAAGGATGTGCTTTTGGACACCTTGACTCTGATTCTGAGCTTGCTAATTAATTCACAATTTTCACTAACTAGGCAAACGGCAGAGGAGTTGTTTCCTTTTTATTGTATTTGTTAAATGTCATTCAATCTGTGGTCCAGAAATGCTAAAACATATTGTCGTAAGAAATAACCTGTTAACTGAAATATAGTGTATGACTTCAGTCAAATTGTAGTTGCATGTATGGCATCTATCTTTGAGCATCTATATGACACAACAGACAGCTTGGGCTGTTGCAAGATTTTGTCACCTTTAAAACAAGTTAAGGCAAACACGAGTATAACCATTCAGTTGTTATGATGTCATGATGAAGCTATAAGAACTATTTTTTCTCTGATTTAGGGAGAGATTTGAGAGGTTATGATTCAGTATCATCCAACACCCCTAAATTGCATGTGAGGGTATTCATTCTTTATCAGTGAGTCTAGTATGGAGGAATTAATAAACACATTTTTGTTCAGAAACATACACATAACACATAACCCGTACAATGCTGTGTTTCATAATATATTGAAACACTACCATTTTCCAGGCTGCACTAATGACAATAAAACCACAACATATGTTTCTGCTAATCCTAATCCTCATAATGTGTTTAGGGGGAAATTGGTCTGACACACCTAAACTACTGCTGTGTGTGAATTCAATTAGACTTAATCTGACCCCATGCCACTCCGATAGGAAACCAAGGGCTGGGCAACTTTCATCTTCCCTCCATTGATTGTGGCTCGTGCAGAGATATGGAAAAGCCTAACCCACTGCTCCCTTTCATTGGCTCCATTAAAAATTCATCCTGTCCTAATGGAGAGGGATCTTTTTCAATGAGCCAACTGCAGGCCAACCGTGGTGTGCCAGGGTGAGACTTGGCACAGCTGTCTAATGGCAAAACCAAATCCTCACAGCTTTAACTTTGTTTTGTTGGAGTAACGTCTTAAATACTGAATATACTTTGAATAAGAGTACCTATTATAAGCATTTCGTGCTTGCAACAAACTCAATTGCTTAATTCGTTGTTGTAATTCATTATTGTATTCATTACCTCAAACATAATATTGTCTATTGAATGTTATAAAATAGAGACTGCCCCTCATAAACTCTGAGTCCAGGTAATATCTTAAATTGTATTATTTTATAAGTTTCTTATGGATCAATCGGTTTAGTGTAAATAGTTCAAATAGTGAAAATGTTCTTCACAAAATCACAAAGCCTAAGGTATGGCCCAAAACACGGGCCATACATAGAGGTTACCGTAGTTTGACTTTGGTATTTTGTGCAACTGCACACATATGCAAAACATTAAGAAATCAGGTATGTTAACAATAACGGTGACATGTCACAGAGAAAAGACACAATTAGTAATAGATTACAATGATAGAGTTAATAAAAAATACTGTAGACCGACTCTCATCATCTCCAGCTGTAACACTTATACAGATTCATAATGGTATATGACAGAATTTGTAGAGGTTTGGACTAAAATGTGTCTTTGTGGAGTCCGTTTTAATCAGTACTACAGCACGCTTTATGGTCTAACATTTGTTTCCTGTATCCCATTCGGTTCCTTTTTGTTGAGGGGGCTGACAGACGATACCATTCCACCCGTAGGTTACACAACAAATTTCAGACATTCTCTCGAGTCAAAGGCATAAGTAATTACCAATGTTGTTAATGTATTGATATAAATATTAAACAATATAATAAGGGACTGTGTTATTACATATATCATTGGTTATATAACTAAAATGATCGATCTATTCCCCACCGCGCACCCCTCAGCGTAGGCTGTTGCCATGTTCCCACTTTCATGGGTGTGGTGATTAGCTTGCTTGGTGAACATTTTTAGTCTAATCCGACCAGAGTCACTCTCGCTTCTGCCCCTTTAAACCGATTAAATTGTCTTAAAATTAACACGTCTGCCTTTGCGATTTCTCTCACAGCTGGGACCATGTTTGTTGTGTGAAAACGAATCAGTGTGACTCGTATCGGAAGGACGGACAGAGCCAAAAAAAGCCTGTTTCAGGTAAGGACGTGTTAGTCTTGCCTTGATATTTTGTAAGCTTTCAGGCTATTTCCTGCTTTGCTCGCGGCGGGTTTAGTTTGTTTTTATATTGAAGGTGGGGTGCAAAACAATGCCCCTGAGTTTGAAATATTGTCAGTGCTGTGAGCGTCAATGAAGCTATTGAAATAACTGTTTCAGCCTGCCTGAATGCTGTTTTTTCCCTCTTACTAAGCCAAGCTGAAAATTCACTGCTATCCAAACGCGGCCTTTTTTACAGGCTGTCAAACGACTCTCACGGAACTATAGGAGAAAAACCTCTTACTGGTTGGCATATATTTTTTCTGAGTCAATGTCATCGATATGCCTTCTCATTTGTGGTTGCACGACACCATTTGCGTAGCGTTCCCCCCCTTCTCTTTTCCATTAAATATACATGGCAGTCCGCCTTCAAGCGAGCGGCAACTGGTAGCGTGACGGGGCGCGAGGCTCATACAATTTGTTGCTTGTATCGGCAATGTAACTCCACTCTTATCATTTCATACATATCTATACACATGCCCATTTAACCTACAGTCAGTGGTGTGAAGCAACTTAGTACATTTACGCAAGTACTGTACTTAAGTACCATTTTGAGGTACTTGCATTTTGCTTGAGTATTTCCATGTTACTTTGTACTTCTACTCCACTATAATTCAGAAGTAAATATTGTACTTTTTACCCACTACATTTGTGTAGTACCCTTTTAGTTACTTTGTAAATATAGATTAATGATTAACACTTTAATAGGACTTAAATGTGACTAACATGGTACACAGCAGTAAATGATATTTTTAAGTTTATTTAGATACTTTTGTACTTGTACTTGAGTAACATTTTGAATTCAGCATTTTTACCTGTAACAGACTATCCCTACCCTTTGGTACTACTACCTTTACTTAAGTACAAGGTCTGAGTACTTCTTCCACCTCTGCCTACAGTTTTTGTGTTTCTATATGGTGTAATTAATGGTTTCCAGTCTTGGCTGTTGACATATAATACATCATGACAGTGAGTTGTTTTTGTTGTTGTTGTTGTTGACATGATATACAGTATGAAGTCACAGTTTTTGATCATGTAGTCTATGTTTTCAATCTGCAGCTTATTTGGAGCTGGTGGTACATACCTAAAAGTTTTACTAGTTTTGACATGGTGCTCTTTCATAATTGCCAAGGGGATAGTATGGTGATTGACAAAAAATAACTCCTGTTAATTATAACTAATTTAGGTAAGATGGGCAAGTAGCAACCAGCATTATTTATTTAGAATAGCCAAATATGTAATTTTAATTTACTGTAGTAAATATTTCAAAGCCAGGTACAGCTGAACAGATGAATCAATTAATTGATTGAGAGTAGACGTCTATGAGCTTTTGTCTATCAATCTAAAAGGCCAAAAGCTCAATAAAATATTCAGTATATTAAAATATAAATGTTTGGTATGCCATTTTATGCCACACACCTTAATGTCATCTTGTTTCATGTCAAATTATTTTCCCAAAATGATTAATATTCTCTACATTTAAAACGAACAAAGTGAATTCTCTGACGTTTTATTTTTTTAGATATTGAGAGCCAAAAAATGGAACTGACAGTTATTGCATTCTTAATGATTTGTACATTTTAAATGTGACTTTGCATAATGTTTACCATTATTATCATGTTGATGTCAGGGCCAAACGATGTTACATGAGATTTTCATTAATATGTTCAAATACATACTTCTGCTATTCTGCGGCTTTTAATACACTGCTAAAATACAAAAGAAAACTTTAACTTATTATGAAGATTATAATATCCAACATTATTTTATTCAACAAATGAAATAACTCAAAAATCTACCCATGTTTATTATGCCAGTTGATATCGTTTTTAAGAGGGGGAAAAACACTGTTTTTGGAGCCCTAACTGATACTGATTCAAACCATACCAACCAACCCTTACCTAGTGAATCTTCAAGCTCTACATGTTCCTGTTTTACAGCTGTGTGTTACCAAACCTCAGAAAAACACCAGCCGGAAGTTTTTATAACTTGACCGATTATACACAAGCAGGAGATCTTTATCTCTATGCTAAAAGGGTCATGGTTCACTCCAGATTATTAATGTCACTAAGGGCATGTTTGGACAAATCTTTCTTTATTTAGTTGTAGTTTTCATTAGGAATGTTGTGTGGCTCCATTACGTGTAGTTGGTGTGAAACCTGTGACCAAAGCAGGTCTTAAACCCACCACACATTCACTCACCATCTGTCTGTAGCTTATGTTTAAACAATAATAGGGCAAATCAAACATGTTCTCGTAATTCATGACACGTATATGATATGATATGAACATGTCAGCTGAAGAGAAGGAAGACATGTGACTTCTAAACTTACTGGAATCTCAATAGGTATTTCCTCCATTCTCCGGATGTTTGGAATAGTCGGTGCGTTACCTGAACAAGTTTACACCTGGTGGAGCTGCCACATCCAATCTTCACTTTCACACACAGGGGCCGTTTCTCAATGTCGAGTATACCTGCTGCAGAGCCACTATTTCAAGTATACTACGTCATCGAGTAGCGCCGAATGCTGGGCATTTAACATGCTTTTAAACAGTCCTTCGGTGCCACTCGATGACGTAGTATACTTGAAATAGTGGCTCTTCAGCAGGTTTACTCGACATTGAGAAACGGCCAGAGCCATCTCATTAATCGCCTGTTAGATAGAAATGTCAACAAAGTTTAAATGCGATCATTTAATGAATACCTGAACATATGCAGTATCTTCTAGCTGTATATATGATACATTTGCAAATACACTGATAATGTACTGTTAAGAATCAGATTTTAGTTGAATAAAAATGAAAAATATGGCTAATGTTGGTGTGACTTGGTTGGAGCATTGAGTTCAAATATTTATTACAAATAAAACGCAATCGTTACACTTATGAACAGACATGTTCAAAACCAGTAAAATATTCCAATACATTTTCAACTAAGAGAGCAAAATCCCTCACTTTGCATGTAACATAATAACTGTTTACAATTCATGGAATATGGGATTGATAAATATTATGACCTTGCTGTAAACGCTGGTATTAAGTGCTCACAGTGGACCATTGTGTAATAATTTGATTAGACCTGGCAGTGCGTATTGTTAATTCCTTAACTTCCTGACCATTTCATGTTGTTGGGGCCCCTGTGGCTCTGGGTGCAGCTGCACTGCCTGCACCCCCCGCTGCTCTGTATTTGTTCATGATGGAGGAAGATGTGACTGACTTTCTACTGTATGTGACCCTGGAGAAGCAGAAGGTCTCATTGACACATTTCATTTAAAAACCTGCCAATGAGTGTTATCTAATTAGAATCCTCTCCAGGTGTCTCTTTTACTCTCTTTATGGTTGTATGTTTTCACTTGTGTATGAGCTATCATTGAGCCAGCAGAGACACGCACTGGAGCGACAGTGTCTCCGGTAAAAAATATAATGTGGGCAAGCTTCATTATTGGAATCAGACACTATTGACTTTTGACTGACGAGAGCTCTCTCTCTCTCTCTCTCTCTCTCTCTCTCTCTCTCTCTCTCTCTCTCTCTCTCCCCCTCCCTGAGTGTTATAAAAGTGGAAGTCCAAGTTTTACGTGGATTTAAAGGTATGAGGATGTGCAGCAGCTGAACAAGATGTATAAGCAATCTTCTTATAGGGCAATAAATCTTCCAACTACTTCCTTAATTCATTGTAGGATAAAGATCCAGTGTACTATTAAATAGCAACTATTAGCGTTTTAAAACTGGAAGCTGTGAAGATTGCCCAAAATAGTTTGTAATTAATTGATAAATTAATCAGGTCATACAAATACCATTTCAACTTGACTTCAAGCGGCCTAGATTCTTATAATAATATTGATATGTTAAAACTGAAATATTTATTTTTGTGTTTTTTAATCGTCGTGAATTTCTCAGTTTCTTTTATAAATATTCGGTTTATCTTCCCTTCTTATTGTGGTGCACTTGGAAAAGTATTGATAAGTCTTTAAATCATTACGGGTAACTTTTTAAGTTTTATGATAGTTGCTGATAGAGGTTATGAGACTACTATATTCTTTAATTAAAGCCAGTTCTTTTCATTGACCAGTGTATTAAATACAGATATGTATATTCAACAGGTGATTCAAGGGCGTATTGTTTCCGTTTTTCTCCATCTATCTCAGCCTTATAGAAGAGATCCTCAATAGTAGTTAGAATGCATTCAGCAAAGCCCTTACCAATATCCCTATTCCCGCCTTTATGCATCCACGCACTTAAATGCAGATGTCAGCTGTTGGTCCCAGTTCACACACACAATATTTCCCTGCTGCTGGGAGCTCTGGTGTGAGGCTGAACATGTTGGGTGGTTGTTTGGTGTCATAAGAGCTGTAGCAGTTATAGCCTCCCATGGCCTGTCTCAGAGACCCAAGTGCGGTGGTGCCAAGCAGCTCTAACTACTGTAGCTGGCACCCTGCTCTAAACAATAGGCAGCTCCAACACACAGCTCTGTCTTTGTCACCCTGATCGTGTGCCTTGATCTGGGCCTGCGTCGGCCCGGCTGGCTGCATGGCTCCAGTCTAGAGAAAAGGAACACGGCTCACAAAGTTTTACATCTGTTATTCTGGAAGGTAAACTTTATCTATTCCTTTTGGTAGGGACCATTTAACTGTGTGACAGCTTCTGCTGGCTATGGTTGATGTATGTGTGTTTTATTTATTTTACTAAAGAAGGAATGAATGACCTGTTTTGTTTTCTAAATTACTTAACCTTAGTGCACACACATGTTAACACAAGTCATGAAGCGCTAAAACCAGAGCTGTCAGTTTTATCCCAAAGCACTCATCGTTTTCTAACTCCATCACACCTGCACCATTTTCTACCTTATCTTTCTCGTGTGCGCTGTTGCCTTTCACTACACAAGCCCCTGATGGAAAACATTGATTAAAAACATTAACACAGTATAGAAGCTCATATCGGGTGTTTTGGTAGTCCACAAGGCGCTATGTGTGACGTGGCAGATTTCAGAGGCATACCGTATAATGGATCCATGGCAGAGAGTCATCAGCAGCACATCACAGGCGAGCTGACGCTGAGAGCCCTCTCTTCAGGGTGTTTGCGTCAGCCGGAGGAGAGAGTGACGTCACCTCCGGGCAGCTGAAAGCATTGCAACGCTGCGGCCCCTGATGCCTCATTACTGTCAAAGACTTCCCTGGCTGAGACTACGGTCCTCAATGAGCAGGCCAAAGCATCCTCTCTAGAGCAGAGCAGAGGCACAATGGTCAGACCAAGGGAACCAAGAATCTAAAACGACAGCTTTTTCACACATGCATAGTGTCACTTTTAAGAGGCCATTGGTTGCAGCGCACGCATCAAATCATTGTCTTAGTTACTTGTATGTATAATGATTTTGGTTTCTCTTTTGTGGTGATTAAGTAACTGGATCACAATGGGTGCAAAAAGGAGGATAATGCACAAACAACCTCCTCTTCGCATTAACATGACTTCCTGTGGAGAGGAAGGGCTGGACGCAGTGTAATTGTTGAATTATAGAAAATGAAACTGAAAATGTAATCTCAGAGGGTTAGGCTTCTGGACAGCAGACTGTAAAAAAAAAAAAAAACTGCCTGGAAAATGAGCGGTGGGGGAGCGGTCCAAACATTACTGAGGAGTGTCTAAGTGCTCTGTGACCCACATTCAGGCTCCCCAAGGTAAAGGAAGAGGCATTTGTGCACAAACACACTCATACGTGCACGTTCAAATACATGGCATACCTTAACTAGATGCACATTAAAGTAAATGCTCGCATAATGTATGCACACTCACACACACATTCATATTTGCAATAGAATTGTACATGTTGTTTTTCTTACTTGTATATATTGTCCAATAATTATTCCAGATACAATCACGCACACACATTCAAGGCTCTTTGGGGGCCGGCCGAGTAAACAGCGCAATGCAATAACACAAAAGGCTGATTGAGTCAGGAAAGGTCAGAGCTGGGCTCAGATGGCCTTTTGAACCACACTGGGGGTGTTTGAAGAGCCAGCCCCCCCTCAGGGCCCCCACCCGGCCCCACCCTCTGCAGCACCCTCCTTTTGGTCTGAGCCCATACAGTATACCTATGTTTGTCTGATGGAAGTCTTCCCATCCTTCACTCTCCGTCTGCCTGTTGAACTCATAGTATTTCTGTTTCTCTGTCTTGCAGGTGTCAGCTGGTAAAGCGTGTGTGTGCCTGAGAGTGTGTGTGTGAGTGTGTGTATGCGTGCAGGCACTTGTGTTTTCCCAGCCCAGTAAGGATTTGGAGCGGAGCGTGGCCTGAACACATCACAGAGGGACAATGAGCGAGCTGGAACAGTTGCGGCAGGAAGCCGAGCAACTACGCAATCAGATCCGGGTAATGCAACGTTTTCTGTGCATGCGTTTGTTTATGTTGACGCGCGTGTGTACGTTATACGTGGTTTTGTGCATCGCATGTGTGCCACTGTCTGTTCTCTAGCTGTGACTCATGCAGTTATAGATGAGACGGTGACACACTCGACATATAACTTGTCAATCATCCTCTTTGTCTCGTGAAATGTTTTTATCGTGGGAACTGATGCATTGATGTCTGTTGCTGCTGTGATATTATTCTAGGGTCACTGGGATATTTAGTTTCTTTGATCAGCAATAAGTTGTAGCACATTTTATTGCACTCAATCAGAAGTATTTTGAGTTCCTTTTCAGGTATGTTTTTTTCCATTATTTGTGTATAGAGTGACATAACAATCGTCAACATGATCATTTTCTGTCTCTTGTGTCACAGGATGCCAGGAAAGCCTGCAGTGACTCCACTCTGTCACAGGTACGTCTTCCTCTCCACATATATAATATTGTGTAAAAAATCTATTATTACTAAGTATTTTCATTTTTAACAATTGCTATATTTTTCGCCAGGAGGGAGTGTTAACACAATCAAAGTTGTGTTGTTCCAAATGCACCCTAAGTTACAATATGCCTGTTTGCCAATAAGCAATGTTACATCTAAACAGGCTATTTTCAAACATGATCTAGCTTGTTGCTTTAATTACCCTGGCAGTTGTTTCATTCACAAGTTATACAAGAAAATGCTGCAGTGAATCTATAAAAATACTTCATAGACATTATGCAGCAATTTTAGCTTCACTATTTTTAGTCATTGTCTATTCTTGTGTTATCTTGACCTGTTTTTGCTGCCTCAGCTAGAGTCCACTGTCCAGTGTAGTGTGTGTGTTTGTTTGTAGTGATAAGTGTGTGTGTGTGTGTGTGTGTGTGTGTGTGTGTGTGTGTGTGTGTGTGTGTGTGGGCCTCGAGTGACACTGCTGACGCGTCTTCCTGTGTTTTGGCAGATCACAGCTGGTCTGGACTCAGTGGGCCGGATACAGATGCGGACGCGGCGCACTCTCAGGGGCCACCTGGCCAAGATCTATGCAATGCACTGGGGGAGCGACTCCAGGTACTGTGGTTATTTCACAGGAAACTAATTATTATCAAACAGCACAATAGGAAATTAACCTTTTTTTATACCATTTTGTTTTTTATGTTCTTATTGCGTTACATTTTTGGGGGAAGGGGGGCAATGGCAAAAAAAGTGCCACCAAGAGCTAAGACAACTGGAAACACCTTACAGTCACAGAGAAGGAATTTTACAATAAAATCCACTGGCATTGGCTTCATCATTTTCTTGGAAAGATGACTCGGCTGCTTAATTCTTTGCATAGGTAATGTCTTAGTAATAGCTCCAACTTGGCTGCTAATATCTAGGTTAGTTAAGGAGTGAAGGCATGACTTCAGTTATGGCAGCAATTGAGGATCAATTTACAACTCTCCCTGCAGATACGCTCTGATACTCTAACCTTTTTAAATGATGGGGTTCAAACTGCTTATATGACTGGTTTTACCATTAATATTATGTATGTGTTTAATATGTCTGTGTCACCCTTTATTTTTCTCTCTGTCCATCTGTCTCCCAATGCAATGCACTGGGGCAGTGACGGCAGTCCCAGGTGTGGGGCTATACTACTACCAGTACCACTACTACTATTACTACCACTACTAAAACTACTATTCTACTAATAAGACTAATACCACCATAATTGACTGTCACTACTGCCACCTCCACTACTACTGAACCTCTGTCGTAGCGCTAGCACTGTTAAACGCCCCCACTTTGAGCACAGGAATGATATTAGCTGGGCACAGTGACAGGCAGCCACCCCAGCTTGTTAAATATTTCCTTAAAGATGCAGTTTGTAAGATCTAACAATCTTTTTTTTTCTAAATGTTGCAATGATTCACAATCAATCAGTGAGAGAGTGGCTGCTAACAATGAGTTTTCCCTTAATTAAAACTTACAGACTGCTTTTTTAACGGTTTGCTGAAATTATGAGCACTTAGGATTGTATTTTCCCAATAGTATGCATGTAGTGCACTGGTTCTTTCTTATCAATAAACGAGAAGTGTATGAGAAATAAAACCTAAAGATAGTGTAACATTTGAGATCTGCTACAACATTTAGGATTTAAAAAAATCATAAATATCTGTTCAGTGTAAGCATACTTGTTTTTTCCTACAGTAAAGACCACTGGACAATGCATAGGCTGTTCAAATGTGATTATTGTGTGTGTGTGTGTGTGTGTGTGTGTGTGTTTGCCTAGCTCCCTCTCGGTGACCCTGCAGGAGGCCAGTGTTTATTGTGTATACAGCCACTGACATTTGAGCGTGATGGCTCTCCTCTTGATTGTAGCATAGCACCGTCAAACCACTTCCTGTCATTGGAGAGGCGGAAACACCCAATCAGGAAGGGAGGGAGGAGTTCAGCCGTTTCTTCATCTGCACCACCCTTATCTCTCTCTCTCTCTCTCTCTCTCTCTCTCTCTCTCTCTCTCTCTCTCTCTCTCTCTACTGACTGTTTCCTCTTCATCATCTTCTCTGCATCACTTCTCTTGCTGTCCCTCTCTGCTGCCCCAACCCAGCTTCTTTCTAGTGCTTTCCCGACCCCTCGTGCTTACCATTAAACAGTAGGACTTTTACATAACGGGGGTAATAAATATTACATGGGGTGGGACATTAAAAGTGGCTTCCCTGGATGAGGAGACTTCCACCAGGAGGGGGAGGAAGAGGGAAACGGGGAGTGGCAGAGAAGAGTAGGGAGCTCACACTGAATGCTTTTTGACAGATCACCTTTAACTCATTCACACAGTGTAGCACAGTACTCTCTTAGCTGGCTGCTGGCTCTCATTGCTTTTAATGATCCAGGTGCATGTACCCTTTAGATTATGGGGGTTGTTCTACATGTGGACCGCTTCTCATTTTGCTGTTCTCCACTTGTTTCCAGGTTACTTGTCAGTGCCTCGCAAGATGGAAAGCTTATCATCTGGGACAGCTACACAACAAATAAGGTGAGGTTATTGATATGACATTGTAGATTGTATAGTAAGTACAAAAAGAACAGCATATTTCAAAGTTTTTCTGCCATCTGAAATGTGCTTCTCCTGTCAGAGTTCAATACCAACAGTTCTGGCTGTGATGTATGCCCTCTCAAACACAATACGGATATATATGTTGTGACAAGCTTCCATCCAAATGACATTAATAAGGTTTTCTTGTGGGTTCTTTATAGATTTATAAAATGAATCTGGCTGGTAAACTAGTGAAAGTGACCCTTGTATTTCGAGAGGAATCTGCTTTAATGTTTAAAGAATATTACTCATTGTAATCATCCCCCTAAGAGTATAAAACAAATGTGGCCATTGATAGCATAATCTACAGCTCATAGTTTTTATTTAGCTTATACCAATGTTTTGATATCCAAAACGGAGGAAGAAAGCACCTGAAACAGTCTTGTGCTTTCCTCTTGCACTTAATAATAAGTTCTGCTGTCTTCATATTTATCATGGCGTACTGAAATTGCTACGTTTCTTACTGACATCTTTTGCAAAACCCGGCAAAAAGGAAGAATGTGTTCTTTCATTTCTCTGAAGGACAGGGGAAGTAGCAGAGTTATGTCCACTGCTGACTCTGAAGCTCCACATTACTACTATTATTATATTTACTAAAGACTCTCCTTGTCCTCAGATGCATGCCATCCCGCTGCGTTCCTCCTGGGTGATGACGTGCGCCTACGCCCCCTCTGGGAACTATGTGGCCTGTGGAGGCCTGGACAACATCTGCTCCATATACAGCCTGAAGACCCGGGAGGGCAACGTGCGTGTCACCAGAGAGCTCCCAGGACACACAGGTAGGCACAGTGCCAGCTGAGATATAATATGAATTAGTGAAATAAGCCTATTTATGGACTCAACTGAGTTATTTATATCATAAGTAACATGATGGCAGTTTCTTAAATCATATTGTGACCTGAGGGCAGCATTCTAGCATGCCTGGTTCAATATCTTCGACACGTTGACAATGCCTTACTTTAGTTTTAGAGCTCAGATTTGTATGTACAGGCTGACGGGCTGGTTCAACGAGTCCAAACAATGGAAAGATTCACACAGTGCTGTTTTATACTGGTTCCATTTGTGGATTAAGGATTGCCATCAGCTAAATGAGTGGGACTGTTCATACAAGTGCATCTCTTGTAGAAAAATAAATTGCTCCTGGTTAAATGTGACATAAGGCATCATCGTGAAGAAGGATTAGCACCGTAGAAAAATTCAGTAGTCGTTGTCCGCCATACGAGTAGCTCAAGAGTAAAGTGTCTTGCAGAGGGGGGGTTGATCAGGCAGGGCCGAGCGCTCCTTATCTGATGTGTAACCTCTGATCTTCTCCAGGTTACCTGTCTTGCTGTCGTTTCTTGGACGACAATCAGATACTGACCAGCTCCGGAGACACCACCTGGTGAGATTTACACTCTGCTCCACCCACACAGCTCTAAGGTTTGAAATGCTTTTACATGATGGAAAAATTCTTGTTTCTGTTTAACACACTAGACTGAAGATGCTCCAGCACATTAAATACAAATTTTAAAAAAATTCTCCTTGATATGAATCTTCTTCTCTCACCATCTTACCCCCTTGTTGCTGCTTTTAGATTCCCTTTGTGCTAATTGAACAGAAACTCTTTGATCTGTGCTATTCACAACGCTTATACTTTAAGTAGATATGCACGGCAGGCCCACTTTCAGCCATACAGGCTCATAACTCAAGAGGGCTGGATAAAGACGCATTAAAGATGGACACTCACACCTGACCACTGCCGTGTTTCTTGCAGTGCATTGTGGGACATAGAGACCGGTCAGCAGGCCACCTCCTTCAGTGGCCACACAGGGGATGTGATGAGCTTGTCTCTGAGCCCGGACTTCAAGACCTTTGTGTCCGGAGCCTGTGACGCCACCTCCAAGCTGTGGGACATCCGGGACGGCATGTGCAGGCAGTCCTTCACCGGCCATGTGTCCGACATCAACGCCGTCACCGTGAGTGCTGAAACACAGACAGACAGACAGACACAGACACAGACAGACACAGACAGACAGACACAGACAGACAGACAGACAGACAGACAGACAGACAGACAGACACTGTTGGAAGGAAGTGTCTAAAGGATTGATGGGTGGAAGACTGCTGATTGGATATTGTTTAATATGGCTTGAAAACACATTTCAGTTTTCACATTACATTTTTTTTTTTTTAACTCAACTGTTTAGAGCTTTATCTGAGTACAAGAATTATATTTATTGCTATAGGATGTTTAACACCAAGGCAAAATTGCATACTGCTGTTTTTGAAATATAAAAAGCATTATTCATTTTCCAAAGACAACTTTGATGAGAAAATGTTTTCCTTTGCATTTAATGAATTGCATTGTGGATGTTTTCAGCTTTTTATCAACAATAAATCTAATATACATTTTGTGTGACAACATTAAGTTGTTTTATTAGTCCATATATTGGTCATCATCATTTGACTTCCACTGAAGATACAGATCTTAGGTGAGTTATATTGGCCTTGGATGGTCTGTAACACACAGGAAAAATCCCAGGAGCCTCATAATATGGTAATTCAAACAATTGTATCCTGATATCTGCTTGATTGAGATTTCTTTCTCTCCTGCAGTTTTTCCCCAATGGCAACGCCTTTGGCACTGGCTCAGATGACGCCACCTGCAGGCTGTTTGACCTGCGTGCCGACCAGGAGCTGATGATGTACAGCCATGACAACATCATCTGCGGCATCACCTCCGTTTCTTTCTCCAAAAGCGGCCGGCTGCTCCTGGCCGGCTACGATGACTTCAACTGCAACGTCTGGGACACTCTGAAAGGAGAGCGTGCAGGTAAATGACGTCCTAAACTTTTTTTTTGACAATTTTAGGATAGAGATTTACCAAACTTCATGAATGTAAGTTCTGCTTTAATTCTTGAGAAGAGGCAACCTACACATTCTTAGATTTTAGAAACTGGAAGTGGAATTATCTGCATTTGTTCTTGAAATTGTTCAGTTTAAATCAAAATCAATGCCACTTATGGATTCAGCTGTGAAATGTAGCATCCTAGAATAGATGTGAACAGACACATGAGTAGCAAGTTGAAATGTAACATAAAGGTCGGACTGTGTAACTTCTTGTGTTACAAAGCTGAACGTTTCAGTGATTTGAGTTATTCATGTTCTTTTTTAATAGTTTGTACAGGTTTAACTGATCAACCTTGGACTCATTTATTTGACCTTCAGGTGTGCTAGCGGGCCACGACAACAGAGTGAGCTGCTTAGGGGTGACAGAAGACGGCATGGCTGTGGCCACTGGATCCTGGGACAGTTTCCTTCGCATCTGGAACTAAACAAACATCTTCCCTGTTGTACTCAATCACTGCCCGCCTACTTCCTCCTGCACCCCCACGCCACATGTCCCAACTCATCTGCTGGGCTGGACCGGAGGGGTGCACACTGTGTCTGCCCAAATCCTCTCAACTCACCCCCAGCTCTCCTTTCTGCAGGCGACCCGCCCTCCTGCGAGAAAGTACAACTCTTTCTAACTTTCCAAGTGACATTTTTTTCTTTTTTTTTACCCAATTTTTACACAGAAACAAATATAGGAACCTTTCGATAGAGTTGGCCAAGCAAATGTTTAAAAAGAAGAGATTAGTTGTGGAAAAACTGAAGGAAAAAAATATAAGATTTTGCCCAATTCTCTTGTGCGGGGGGGGCGGGCGATAAAAAGCATCTGTTACCATGACTAACAAACAAGATGAGCGTCGGCATGTAATATGTAAATGTATATATAAAGACAGTATATATGTATAGCATTATGTGTGTATATATGCATCATATATGCATATATAATGTGTATGTATATATTTTTGTAGTTTATTTCCCACCCTTGAGGTTTTTTTGTTATGTTTTTGGGGGTTTTATGTTTTATTTATAGTGTACATATTCACATTACTACAAAACATAATGCCAGAAACACTGATTTTATCCAATGTGAGTACCAGACTGATCGTCAGACAATTAAGAGGCAGCAGCGTATCATTGAATCTAAAAAGTCTGCTCTCGTTCATTTTCAATGTTTCTGGTACTTGCTGATTTTGTCAAGCCCACTCATTAATCAACAAACAAAGATTTAACAAATCTTAGAATTCGGCCAAGCTAAACTTACGTTCCTCATTCGATGTTATTATGGTTACAGGCAGTATACATAATATATGCATCCTCTGCATTTTTTTTTTTCAACCACACAACCCCTGGCATTTCTCAACGCAGTCTTTTCATATGAAAGGAAACGCCACACTGCTGTGATAATGATAAAAGGGAGCATGTCAAAATAAACAAGCGGTGTTTTTAAGTCTGCTAGTCGAGCTTTACCTCGAAAGTAGAAACCGTTGAATTTTAGGCTAGGATAGAAAACGTTATTTACCTGGAGGCCCTGCCTTGGCCTCCACTTGTGTTTTATTGTGGTTTTAACCACACGAATATCTGAAGACCACATTCATTCCATGCAAATCAACAGCTGTGTGATATGATTGATAACCCAATAATAGTCCTAAATATAGGTTTTGCATCATATCTGCTCTCTCCTGTGGCCTATAGAATCTACTTTTCCTTAGTCGAGATGTGCATCTAAGTTCCTCATACAAAAGACACTGTTGGAGAGATGAGCATCGCATAGAGAGACGCGTTCTCCCGAAGCAGAAGCCATTTCTACCTGTGAGCCTGTAATGGTGCTGAGGCCTGTATGGACATAAAGTAGAGTCAATACATGAGGACATTTAAAGGACAGCAGCGACTCTGCTGGGGACAAGAGGGAAGATGAAGAGGAGAAAAGAAAGATATCGGTCAGAGTTTGCCATGTCATTTTATCCTTTTTTAAAGCAAAGGATCAACAAGTCCTTTTCGTCGTCAACAGGGTGTGAACTGAGTGAATACATGGAACTGAAATCATGTCAGCCACTCTGACATCACACCAGTGCCACCACAAGCCTGTAAAAAAAAAAAAAAGAAAAGAAAAAAAAAGATATTTTTTAAAATGGTTTAACACTTTTTTTTTTTTTCTCACCAAAAACATGTTATGAACTGTTAAATATTGCTTGTGAAGAGAGTACACTTGGTAGACAGAAATGTACACTTGGTAGAGAGCTAGATATGCACTCACGAACTGTAGTACAAATGTAAACCATTGAGCACATGTGACTTATTTACCCATAGAAGTACTATCTCTGATTTTGAGTCTTTTCTCATCTTCCATTATTTTGGTTCCTCTAAATGCTTAATTAAAAAACAAAACAATGTATGTGATTTGGACCTATCCATCAGCTGTCTCAGGTGCCTATCTCTGAATTTAAACATGTGACCCAAATGGGCTAGATAAAGGAGGATTTGTGCTCCCGTGAGATGTGGCACTATTGTGTCTCCATTCTGCCTTACAATACCATTCCTAATAGAAGGTCATACTAGCATCGACTACAGTAATGTTCTCCTCTTATTATTCCTTTTTACAGATTTATCAATAAGAGAGATTGCTTATTATTTTTTGTTTCCCAATAGAAGCACATTCTGATACTAGTGAACACTAAAAAGCATGCTTACAGAAAACCACAGCGACCACATGCAGCTCTATACTGCTTCTTAAAGTGTTTCTACATCACTCTTTATACAATTCTACTTTCTAATACTACCGTACAGTTTGTAGTATTTATTTAGGTTCAGTCGGCTATCAATGAAACCCCTCTTTTGGCATAGCGTGATTCTAGTGACCTTTTTTGTTTTTAAATGTTTTTGCTGCTTCTACCTGGCTTTGCATTGATGAATCAATTTTGAGAGAATGTTAAAAATAACCGTTATAGTTTTTAGCCTGAGAATATCTTTGGGGTGTGTAGGATGTGATATGTATTGCATATCAGTGTTGAGGTGTGTGTGGGGGGGGAGGGGAGGGGAGGGATTGGGGGACGATTTGCTGATGTATGTGGATAACATATAGATCTAAGTGTTACTTCCTCATTTGTGCCAATGTTATCCACAGACCCTGAGCTGTGAACTGAAAACTAAGTCAATGTGACAAAAAAACAACATTGCTCACTTTACTCAAGTGCCAGCCTTCTGCATACCCACAAATTAAATTCATGTCAGTATCTGATTTTATACCCAGGATGTTGTTTGATCAAACCGGTGGACTGCTTAAATCTAAAGATGGGTTTTTGTATCCCAAAGTGTTATTAAAAGTGCTTATTAGAGTGAAGTTTCTATATCAATCAGCGGACATGAAAAGTGTCCCCCATATAAAGATGACAAAATGTATTTTAAGAGGAATTGTTTTAATATTGTGGGAAATGTTTGCTTTCTGGCAGTTAGATGGGACGATCACTCTCATATCTTTCCGTTAAATATAAGGCCACAACAATAAGCAGTCTGTTAGCTTAGCACAAAGACTGGAAACAGCTAGCCTGGCTAATGAAGCTCACTCATTAACATTCAATATCTTAAAACCAAAGTGTGAAAAGGAGAGTTGCCAGAACTATTCTGAATGGCGAATGATCATTTTACATATTTAATAAACGAGATATTCTTTTTGTTTTAGATTCAGAGACAGGCAGGAATTGTAACTGTTGGTCAGAGCCAGGCTAACTGTTTCTCAGTTTCCAATCGCTAAGCTAAGCTAACCGGCAGCTAGCAGAAGCTTTTTTTAAATGTCTCGTTAATGGACAGACATGAAGCGGTATCTTTCCTAACTCCTCCGTAAGGATCTAAGCATCTTTTCCCAAATCTCAAAATATTCCAATAAACCCTGACAGCGATATTCAGCTGGAAATCATGTCCTCGCTCTGTGTGTAATTCAGCAGTATTAGCCGCTGGAACCTGGACTAGTAACACTTCTACGTGCCTGTGCAGTTCACTCATTAATCAAAAAGGTGCTTGACTTCTTTTAATTTCACATTATTGTTGTATTTACCTGAAGTCTCCTCCAGTTTATAACTACACAACTGATAAGGAGCCATTGAATCCGCCTGTTGGTGTAACAGTGTCGACATTGGATGCATTCACGGTCAGGGGCGCCGTAAGGGGGTGAAAAGTTAGGACGATTAGGGTTAGGTAAACCGGGCCCGTGACTGACAGGGGCCCAAACAATTTTAGAACATTTAAGAAAAAAATGTTTAAGGAACCAATGTGATATCTTTTCATGGGGCCCAAAATCCCTGGCGGCGCCCCTGTTAACGGTGTAGTCTGTAGATCCATCTGTGAATTGATTTAGGCGATCGTTGTAAAGTTGCCATTTGTCTCCTACAGTGCAACGGTCTGACTTCAAAGAGCAGGTGTGAAAAGGTCAAAGATGCACAACTTCAGGCTGTATTTGTGACAACTACATTTGCATAACTCTCCAGGTTTAACATTTGGATATGACTAATGTAAAGTCTCCTGATCCAATGAGACACCACCACTTTAATTGCTTATGTCACATGATCACCACCACAGCACCATCACAAAATAATGCACTGCCCTTTCACTCTACAACCTACTGTTCTGACATTTTCTTTGATTTTATTTATTGTTTTATGTTTTAAGCCAGTAAAGACCAGGGACTTGGTGCCATGATAATTCTCTTACAGTGCTATTGTGTGAAATTATAATCACTTGTTATGGAATAATTTTTATAGTCTTTTTCACACCAGACCTTTTTTTTGTATTTGTACAGTGGCTTGGTGATACTGATATGTTGCCATGAGTTATTGTAACCAATAAAAAGCTTCTAACCAAGAATACACATTTTGACTAATTTCCTTTGTTACAGAAATGTAGACTGTATACAAATGTAAACTTTATTAACATTATATCCACTTTTGTATAAATACGTTTAAACAAGTTTTATTCCAGAAGAAACAACCGTTTGAGGAGAAAATTGACACCGAATAGGACAGGATAACTAGTAATTAGTTCTGATTTTGGTGCTTAACATTAAACTACAAGCTTTTTTACACATGTTACTTGTTGGCAGAAGAGTGAGCTCTGTACAAATAAAAATGTTTTTACAGTTTAGAAACATACTTATGGTCACGGCAAAAGACAAAAACTTAAATGTATTTATATGCGATTACTTAATATCAACATGTTCCATTACATTAGTGTAATTAACAGTTGGAAAAATATTTTTGAAAGGATAACAAATGAACTAACCATCACTGACTGCAGTTGGTGCAAACCTTCTCCGCCTGTACGATGCAACATCCACATGATTTTACCTGCAGGGCTACTTTCCTTTTGCATAGGTGGCACTGTTCAGAACATTAAGATCCTAATATAATTTTTTTTTATTTTAAAAACACTATCCCACTGAATAGGATGGTAGATTAGTTTTAGAGCTGTTGAATGAATAACAAGTAGTTGCATAAGGTCATGGACATCGGTGCTCTTTATCTATTGAATTAAAAACACAATTCTATCATCAGATAAAGCACAGGTCCTTGTCCAAGTCAGAAATTGAGACTTAAATATGGTGAAATATTTTCAACATTGTTTATCCGACATAGCATTTTGTGTAGACTTAATGTCCAACAAACATGTTGAACACATTTTCTTCAACATATGCCAAGCCATTTTCTAAATCATTTTAAATTGTGCACCAGTTACATATTTGCTTGCCAGAAGTCTTCTTCTTCGCTGCCATTGTTAGTGCACTGCCATCAACTGTAATAGAGCACATGCAGGGGGTCCTCATGCAAAATATGAAAAGTTGTGCCGCTGGAATTCTCCATACCGCTAATAAAGTCTTCCCAATAATGAACACAAAGCAAGTTTTAGATTGTGGCAGATTTAATACAAATCGGGTAAATCTGGAGGTATTTCAACACACATTCAAAAAAAAAGAAGCAGACAGATATACAAAGTGCAGACTGGTGTACTTGTCATTAGAAGTCTAATGGATATAAATAAAATATTATAAAATATGAGGATTTCCAAATCTTTGAATCTATACAGTTTGAAAGGTTAGAAAATATAACATTAACCAACAGTTTGCTAAAGACATGCTTTCCCCTTTCAATGAAAATGTATACTAGGTCCTTATGATGAAGAAAAAAAACATTTCTCTTTTTCTATTAAATATATTTATTTTTCATGTGCCCGAACAGATGCATGTACAATCTAACATACACTCAAACTTCATTTACTCAAAAGGCATATTCACAGTTAGAAGCACGTTAGTGTCAAATGTAGAACCCGACCGGTAGCTTTCTCACCGACCAAGATTAAATTGCCACCTTTAGGAGCGTCTGAGTCCACGTTTCTTTGTTTTACAGGCAGTTTTGTTTACAGTGGTTCACTGCAGTTTTGTAGGCAATACCTGTCTGGCTGAGGGGAGGAAGAGGAAAATACTGTTGGGACTGGGCCTTTTTTCGCTCTGTCTACCAAGAGTGAAACTACAGATTATTTCCATTACCAATTGTTCTTTTTTTTCCTTGATTAGTCTACAAAATGTCAAAAAGAGAGAAATGAGCATTAGCCCAAAAATCAAAAAGAAATTACATTTTTACAAATGACACAAAAGGACAAACCCTTCATAGTTTAGAAGCAGCAGAAGTTTGGTATTCTTGCCTTATAAATGACTAACCTTTCATTGATTATCAAAATACCTATATATTTCATTTTTGTTGATAGACCAAAATGCATCCATTGATCTTTCCAGCACTACTGTCCACACAGAGTCTGTGGAGTAGTTCAGGGGAGGGGGGCCGCCGCTGTGAGGCTGAGGAATGATTGGCTCAACAAGAACCAAACTGTGGAGGAGGAGGAGGAGCCGGAGCAGCTCACTGCTGAGGCTGCAGGTACTCGTATGTGAACGCCTCCAACTGTTTCTCCAGATCTGTGGCTTTATGTCTGCAGTGGAAACAAACACATTTCAGATCTGAACCAATTTCATCCGAACCGCTTTATTTAAACTGTTCATTTGCAGGGCTGCTGTGTACCATCTGAATTCTCTAAGTAATGCAGATAGTTGCCTTTTTGCCAAACATATAAATTACAAATTACATAGGCCTTTCAAGAATAAAAGTAAATAAGTAAAATAATAACTGTTTAGATGTTTCAAGAACTAATTTACAATTACCACCTTCATTTATAAATGTTATTATCCGACTATATATGACTAAAAGAAAAGCTGAAAACTGCCAGTGACAGTATCCTAAATTACACAGGTACTTTATCCTACAACAACCACATATGTTCATATACAATTAAATCATTGAATCTCTCCTTAAACTGTGAGTCTGTTTACTGTGTGCAGAATGATGCTACCTAAGCTAAAACAACAACAACAACAAAGAAACACCTAGTTCTTCAGCATGTCTGGAAAATTCGGAAAATTGTGGAAGAAGGGTTTGATTGTCTCCAGCTCTGTAGTATAATTCACATAACCAAGGCATGCATGTCCCTCAGAGTAGACCGTCCCACCCCCCCATCCTTCTTGAGACGGGGGCCTCACTGACCTCAGGATCTTGGAGTGGCTCTGGACCGTCTCCAGCTGATCTATCTTGGCTGTCAGTTGGCGGATTTCAGCCTCCAGCTCTTTCTGCGTCTGGTCCACCTGCTGACAGAGCCGAGCAAAGGTCGCCGCCATCTCCCTGGCAACACAGAGGGCACAGCATTGCAGTGCTTATGTATTTAGCCCTGCTACAGAGGGGCAGGCTAGGTGGGGCTTAGAGGAGGGGGGTGCTGGGATCTACGTGTGTGTGCAAATTAGGAAATGTACGGGTTATTGGGATTTCTCAGCAGCTCACAGGAAATTGAGGAATGGAATATCAATGTTAAAGGATTATTCCGCCCATAAAAAGGTGGAGTCAGTGATTCTCGAGAGAGAGATTGTAAATATTTGAATTGAACACAAAACAAATACCCCCCCCCTTCCAGATTTATGGTCCTTCGTGCATTTACTGATACAGGGCTGAGTATAAAACACCAACAATTTTTCAGTATGCACGGTCAGATAACTAATGATTATTTTATTAATGATTGATTATTCTGCCAAATATTTTCTAGATTAATCTATTCGTCATTAGGTCTTTCAAATATGATCGAAAATGTCAAAGTCCAAGGTGAAGTACTTTAATATCTTGTTTTGTCAGTCAAAATTCAAAAAGATATTCGGTTTGATTGCTATTAAACAGAGAAGAAAAGAAAAAATCCTTATTTGAGAGGCTGAAATCTGCTTTTTCTGACATATTTACATTCAAATGTGCTTTAACAAATTGATCAATTCACATTTGGTCATTTGTCTTTTGATTGTCTGATTGATTAACTGGCAACCATTTGGGGCTCTAAATACAGAAAAGACTGTAAGGGGATATTCACTGAATGTGTCTAAAGTGTTTTTGATTAGAATCACTGACTAAGTTTAACACTGGGCCTTATCAATATGATATGAACTCTATACTAACAACTAAATAATATTCAAAAGATAATGGTGCCTTGTAGATGAAAATGTCTCTGTACACATCAACACTAGAATATAGAACTGTGAGAAAATCAGCTTAAGTTGGACCGCTTCATATATGCCGTACCACATATAGATGTCTGTAAATGCTGCGGTGTCAGGACTTACTGTTGGACCTGGTGGCTGCAGTTTGCACTCGTGAAGTTGACGATGAGCTGCAGCCTGTCTGTGGCGTAGTCGACAAACTGACGCTTCAGAGTGCGCTCCTTTGCCTTGGTGGTCCAGGTGAGTCTCTCGTACAGATACAGCAGACCGTACAGGGAGGAGGACAGGGCGATCAGCTTCCAGCCAACTGCTTTCCACACCTAGAACATAAATAAATAAATAGACAAACAAAGAAACAGAAGCTGGGTTAGCTCCCTCACAGTTAGACCGCCTCATCAGGGATTGTTTTAATAGCTGCAGTCCTACGTAAAGTCATGAAAAGCAGTCGCCAGGCTTCTTGCTTTCAAATCGTTATGCCTGATTTATATGAAGATAGATATGGTGCAAAATGCGAGAGCTTGTAAAAACCTGATGTGAGCACTTGTAGAGTACAATGTGAGAACTTGCAGAAAAAAATCTGTGCTTGCGTGCATACATTTACACTTGTAAATATCCACGTATCTGTGAACCAAATTTGAAGTCACAGAAAAAAGAAAAAAAAAGTTTGTAGATTGTAGAAAAAAAATGTACTTGATGAAATGTTCACTTGCAGAAAAATATATTACATACATGGCTGTGACTTGTGTGTGACGGACCCGAGCTTGAGTAGTGTAATGTGTAATGAGTGCGCAAACTTATCTAGTATCCTCTCCAGGTGAGCCTGTTTTATTTGTGATGACCTCACATCCTCTAGGGGGGGGGGCTTCTAATCTCCGTTAGCTCCGAGCTAGCACCAGATGCTAACAACAACCCCCATAACTCTGTCTCTCACACAAAATGCGCTCGTGCCACGCACACACAGACGCTCCTCCGTGAAGATGACCCCTTGCGTAAAAAATTATAATAAACACATTTTAAAAGTGGGGGGGACNAAAACTAAAGTGAAACTTGATTTATTCTATTGCAGGGTCTGATTATTATATTGTTGACACTTTAAAAAACTACTATCTTACTAAAAGGCTGTACAAATCAGATTTATTATTTAATAAAGAAAAGAAAAAAATCACATTCTTTTCTTTATTTTTCAATATCGCGATAAATATCGTACCGTGGACTTTTTATCGCGATATTATCGTACCGTGAGTTTTTGGTATCATTACATCCCTAACATTTACTTTATTTAATGCATCAGTTTGAGGCCTCATGCACTTCGGGGTTCTTTGAGGAGGGCCACAAGTTGTTCCTGCTCAGTGCTGGCGTTCTGTAGCTGACTGATATTTCTGGTTGTCTTTCTTCCAGGTATCCATCGCCATGGGAGAGGAGATCTGCCGTCTCCATGTAATCGTTGATGAGTTCCACTCTGACTTCCACCCATCGCCACATGTCCTTAAGATCTACAAGTCTGTGAGTAGAGACACAGATGTATTATACTCCACCACACATTCCTTCGCAGGTATTTTGTTTGTGTTAACTGTCTCCATGTGACCTCCTGGTGCTGTTTGCAGGAGCTGCTGTCTCACGTGGAGGAGGGGATGGGGAAGAACCTGGCCTTCCGCTGCTCCGACGCCGTCCACGCCTCGGTCCACTCCTCACAGAAATACATGATGGGTAATTATTCATTATTGTTTGTTTTGTATTGCTTTTTATTCATTCTACCGTGTTGTGTACTGTTTTTATACTGTTCATGCTCACTGCTTGTAGCACTTCGGGATTTGAAGTCAAATATGAAGTGCTTTATAAATTAAACCCATTATTATTATTATTATTATTATTATTATTAATTAATTGCCAACATAACAGAGCACAGAATACAAGATCTCCTTTGTGTTACTAAATGCATTCTGTGTCTCAGGTGAGGCAAAGCTTTCTAAAATAAATTCTGTTCAGATGCTTTGATGAATCTGCAGCCCTTAGGTTAAGCCAATAGGAATAAAGTATTCGTCTGAGACAAAAAGTTAACTCAAATAAAATAAATGTGAGAATATAAAGTACTAATAACTATCTGCGTCCCATCACTGTCAGAATGACTTAAGTCACAGCATCAATGAGGGATTACAGCTTCTCTTGGTCGTTTATGATATTTTGTACTGTTATGTATCCCATCTTTATAATGAATGGTGGGTGAGCTAAAATCACAATTCTCTCACAACATTTCCTAACTTAAAAGCCAAGAAAATAATCATCAATTCACAGAAAATGACCTCAGCCCAGATTTCCAGTCCCCCATTGTTTTCTCCCTCACCCGCTCATTTAGAGTGTGTTGCTAAACTTAGTCCAAACCTTTGGGGCTCTCAGGCTACGGTCTGCAACACCCAGCGCTGCTATATTTACCCTCCTCGCTGAATGCCATTATCCCGTGCCCCATTATGCTACACATGCGTCACAGTGTCAGGCCAACGAATGCAAGCTGTGCTCCGTGACAGTGACGCTGAAAAGGTGTTAATGTGCCCTCTGACGATAAGGACTCAGGTGCTGTTATGAGATGGTGGTGTGATCTTTTTTCTTTTCCCTAAGGAGAGATGAAGAGATGCACAATATTTAATGATAGTTATGTTGATTTTTTCTTCTGTGTTATTATCTGCCTCCTTGTTCCCAATGGAATTGCACAAAAAGTAAACGGACGTATTGTGAATAAAAGTCAATTTTCCATTGTGCATCAGTGCATGTTCAAATACAAAGTAATCCACAAACTATCTCATGACTGCAGTTTATTTCTGTGTATTTATTTTGTATTAGACTCTCATACGCACTTTCTTCTCCCTCTCCAGAGAGCATGCTCCCTCTGCTTCCCTCTTCCTCCCAGAGCCAAGTCCACATGCTGGTGCCCAGCAGGAAGTTTGACCTGAGTTACGACCTGAACTGCGCCACGCTGTGCAATGACTTCCAGGAGAACATTGACTTTCAGTTCACGTTGGGCTGGACAGCGCTAGTGCACCGCTTCCTGGGATCTGTCAACGCACAGAGAGCGCTCAAACTGGTGGACCAGAATTTCCAGGTACAGGCTGAAAATGTATTGTTGTTTATTATTCCTGCTTGTTGTGTGAGTCCAGGGTTGTACAAATTCTTACAGGTTTGAAAAATGTATTACTTTAGCCATTTTATTGTGCTTGATCTTCATCATAATCTGGTATTTAAACTTTTTTTTTAAATATATATATATATTTGAAATCAAACAATCCCATCATTACATTTGTTTGATGTCTCCTGGCGTCTCACACCAGACGGGGGATTCAAATGAAACCCTTTATGAGACTGTAAAATAAATAAACAACTGACCATGATCACAAACTTTTCTATTTTGAATATGAAGATACTTTCGATGAATTATTTCTGTAAACGTACTCATAAAAAGCGAACAAACCCTGGGTGTGGCCTCGTTAACGTAAATACAAACCATTTTGAAGGAGTTTAAGATTTTCCCTCTCGTTCCTCAGGGCTCCCTACCAGCGCTGCCGGCCCTCACCCCCTCCTCTGGCCCCCCCTCATTGGCGGCCCCGCCCAACAACGAGACAGCCCTCATGACCCAAGAGGACGTGATGATAGCTGTGGCAACCAACGTAGCATCCCTCACCTCCCGCACCTCCATGAGCGTTATCGTCGTCGGAGGAGTGGTATGTTGTTTCCAAAGTTGTCCTAGCAATTTGACATCCATAATGAAGTCCTTATAACATTATAGCCCCGGACACACCAAGACGATTTGGGCCGTCGATAGATGTCTGGCTGTCGATGAGCGTCCTGTCGCCCTACTCAGATTGGTGTGTCCAGTACCGTCGTGTCTTTTCGGCCGTGCCGACGCCTTCCGCTCCCGATTGAACTTGTTGAATCGGGAGCGGAGGCTGTCGGCACTGATTGGCTGTTCAGCTTAGCGAATCAGTGCATGAGAAGCCTCTTGCTATCTGCTTCCACAAGCAACAGTCCAAGGGCTGATGCCGCCAGTACCGCACACATGGGCGTATTTTCCAATGGGGACAGGGGGGACATGTCCCCCCCACTTTTCAAAATCCTGTTTGTCCCCCCCACTTTTAAAATGTGTTTATTATAATTTTTTACGCAAGGGGTCATCTTCACGGAGGAGCGTCTGTGTGTGCGTGGCACGNTGGGGGGGTTGTTGTTTGTTGTTTTGTTTCTCTCCGTTGACTTTCAAGTGGGAACATAACAGTATCGTAGGATAATAAGAGAAACAAAAAAAATACTTATTTCCCACTTGAAAGTCAACGGAGAGAAACAAAACAACAAACAACAACCCCCCCAAACATCACATGTACAAGGCAAAGTGTAACACCCTCATCTGAATCCTACTGGAGAAGAAGGTGGAAAGCGGCGCATAATAATAATAATAATAATAATTAGGGATGTAACGATACCAAAAACTCACGGTACGATAATATCGCGATAAAAAGTCCACGTTACGATATTTATCGCGATATTGAAAAATAAAGGAAAGAAATGTGATTTTTTTCTTTTTTTTATTAAATAATACATTATTTGTACAGTATTTTAGTAGGATAGTAGTATTTTAAACTGTCAACAATATAATAATCAGACCCTGCAATAGAATAAATCAAGTTTCACTTTAGTTTTTCAAGTAACTCAACTCTAACTCACTACTCACTCAGCATCATCAAGGTTATCTTTTAGGAATATGAGCATGTCCACATTTCCAGGTAGAAGCTGGGATGTTTGGGCGTTTACAATATCCCCTGCTGTGGAAAAAACTCTCTTGCTTGGTACTGATGTTGCTGGGACAGAGAGATATGCTTTGGCCATGGGTGACAGCAGTGGGTCAAACTGTGCATTGTCTCTCCACCACTTCAAAAACAATACAGTTTGTTGCCAAGAAGGTGAGGCTTATTGACAGGGCGAGATATAAATATACTGTTGGTACTTGTCTATGTCTCTAGGTATGTACATGTAGCCCTGTAAATACCATGTCCTTTTGTGTTATCTGTTGTTTTATGTTCATGTTGTAACCTACTTGCTGCCATGTTGGACAGGTCTCCCTTGAAAAAGAGATTGATGATCTCAATGGGACCATCTGGTTGAATAAAGTTTTAAAAAATATAAATATTTTTTTTTTTCTTTAATCGCGGTAGATTTTGTCAGTCTCACGACGGTATTGAGACATTTATTTACCGCGATATTCGATATATCGTTACATCCCTAGTAAACGTCCTTTTTGATTTCTTTGTTTCTGTCCAGGCATCGATGTGTTTTGAGTTGTTTCATCCTCAGTATTAAACTTGATTAAAAACTGCAGGCAGCAGTAGAATAAAATGTTTTTGTAAGGGAGAAGGTAAGCTTAAACTCATCAAGTATTCGGAGTAGAGGTGAAACAATTAGTAAAAAGATATATTTAAAAAAAACAATCAGCACTTTTGATAACTGTAATATTTTAAATACATTTAAAAAAGTGATCTCCTCAAAAAGGACGTTTTATTAACCTATATTATAAACAGTTGACTATCTCATGATTTTTCAATTATTGATTATTTTATCCCTGATTTCCACCCTTATAACGGCTATTCAATAAAACAGAATAACAAAGCAATGATGAAAGGAAATGTCATCTGATGCCAAGTTCAGAGTTGTTGTTGTTGTTGTTGTTGGAGTAAAGTGGAGGTTTAAAACCTAAACAGTCGTCGCCTACATTACCTTATTCTCAACGTCCGCACTGATGGCCTTGATCTTAGCCTTGATGTCATCGATCAGCAGGCGGAGCTGATTCTTCACAAACTCCAGCCGGTCTATCTGATACTCTCTGTCCTCCAGTGCTGCCACTCTAAAGACCCCCCCCCAGCAACAAAAATAAAAGTCACAAAAGCAAACTGGCAGCTGAACAGTTTGGCTGTTTATGAAGAAACAGGATTAAAGAGTAACAGAGCAGAACGTAGCATTTTTTGCAAAATCCATTGATAGTTATAGCATGTACAAACTAATGTATCCCTGCATTAGTAAACACAATGTCACTAAAGGAAGTTACACCAACAGATTCATAGATGTCCCTTCATTACATGGTCAAAAGACTTCAGATTTCCAGAAAAAAATCGACCTCTACCAATCCACCATACTAACTAAAAGTAAGTATGTATTGAGCAAGATACCCACCTCTTCTCCGCCGCCTCAATGTTGATGGCGTCCATGATGCTCTTGACTTTTTCTGTGATCAGCTTGGCCCTGATAGTGTGCTGCTCAAACTTTGTTTTCACTGCTGACTGCGAGATACACTCCTGCGAGGCCATAACACATATGTTACTGTGACAGCTATAGGGGCTGGGTAAGGTGCAGGAAGGTGCACGCTACCGGGGACAAACAGAGAGCAAGATACACACCTGCTACTTTAACTTAAGAGACGAAAAGAAAAGGGAAACACAGGTTTGAAAATGACAGCAGCAAGGTGTGTATCCTGCCTCCCACAGCCCACATATTGTAGTCACAGTAATGTGCTGGTGAAGCCACAGGAAAATAATGAAAACACATCAAGTGTAATACAATCAAGAATGCAAATGAAAAAAAGAAAATTCAAACATAAAAGCAGGAATATTGTGTGTTTTTGAGGTGTAATTATTCCCTGTTCTACATCTACAGTATGGTAGGTCACGCAAAACAAGTAATTTCTAAAGCGCAATTGTTATTTGTATTTTCACTTAAAATTAAATACGTTTATGAACTATAAACCTTTTGTTTTATTTCAATGAGATTAGAAATACTTTTATTGATCCCTATTAAAAATATTTAGAAGTATTTAGATTTTGTTATAACCTCTCTGTACAATAGTTTTCATTTTCACTGCAGGTGGAGTCCGTCATTACCGCGATGGATTCAAATTGCCTTCACAAACGAGTGTGCCTCACAGGAAGCGAGCATGTAAACCAGTGTGATTTTCTCTCATTGATAACAGGCTCGCTGTTCACTGTCCAAACGGAGTATCAGAGCTGCTGATGTAAATTGGACATTTTGTGCTGCTTCTTGAAATGTAAACCTTTGGGCCTTTTATTGTGAAGGAGCCTCACGATACACTATGCATTTCTCACAGACAGGCTGCATACCTTCAGCACAGTAACCAACTTTACTGTGTCCTACTGTTGTGTGGTAAACAACTTGTACGTAGTGTGAAGCATTGAATCAGATGGCTGTTGCTCTGATTATCGACTGTCTTTCTAGTAAAACAACATGAGTTTGTTTGGATTCACTGTCAACGCATACAGCAGTTCATTTCTGATAAATGTGCAGTCAGTGTAACAAGTGTTTAGGACACGTAGAAACAAACTGCGCTTGCAGCCCCTCCTGTTATCTTAAGGTCTATAACTTTTAGTTTCAGTGTTTTCCTCCCAGTATGGACACAATTCAATTCCTGTTCAAATCAAAACACAGAAAACTCAAAAAAAATGTTAAGACACAACAAAAGTGAATGAAATGAAATCAAACGGATGTCCTCGCCTAAGTGAATCTAGACTTCAGCAATGAAGACGCAGGTTGATGGATAAGGCACAGTGATTGGTCGGGGATGCACAGTGATTGGTCGGGTCGGGTCGGGGGCCCAGCATCTTATTGCACGGGTAGGAGTGAAACCTGCCCACTGAGCCAGGTGAGAGTTCTTCACCGCTCAGGTTAATGTTACTGTTAGGACAAGGACTTTGGCTGCTTCTCATTTATTCAATTTCTGTCACCATGCACACATCTCCAACACATGCTTTGAAAACATTCTCTCTCTCTCTCACACACACACACACAACACCCAACCACAGGCACACTTTCACAAGGCAACTGAAATGTCCGATGAGTTTGTGTAACCGAAACAATAAAATAATCTCGGTTTCAGAGCCTTATAAAGCAGCCACTGTCTTTATCTACCAGAAGGAAGGAAGGAATACAAATAGCCTAATTTCTCCCTCCAGTTGCAACTTACCCCAGACAGTGCTGGTTTATCAACTTTAATAACATTGGAGTAATCTGCTGTTTTTGGCTTGATTTGACAGTTTTACCTCAGAGGCATGCCTTTTGAGATGTCTTTGTAGTAGCAAATATATCAGCATGTCATCACAAATATATCCAAATATTATCAACAACTTCTCAATTTTTCTCCAAAATCTCTCTGTCAAGTTCAGACGGGAAATATTTCCTTAATGAGTGGGAATACATTGTAAGACATGGAGAGGATACACAAACACAGATACACACAGACACACACCTCAAACCTCCTCTCAAAGCATTGGAACTCCTTCAGTCTCTCATGGAAGCCCTCAGCCAGGGCTCCACCTGTTGGATTAATGATCACATCGTTGAAACAGTGAAAAGTGATTGCTATTATTATTATTAATACATAAGTTGCATCAGAACGGACAAATTGTCCTTCGTCACAGGTAGGTTCTTAACTATTTTATAGGCATTTTTTCACTTTTCATTACTGTTTGTAATTCACAACGTTAATCGAGTTAAGTGGTATCTACTTGTTTAGACCAAAAAAAAGGTTAAATCAAAATCTAAACAAAATTCAGATTTTTTTTGGAAATAATTTCTTTTTTAATAGATTGAAAGTGGCTGACTGCACTGCACTTAGCCGTTCATGTAAAGATTGGAAACTCTTTTTCTATTTAAACATGGCTGTATAGAAATAGATTTTGTAAACAGCATATCCTGGTTGCCAATTAAATCAAACTTTAAGATGGGAAAAACAGTTCCCTATCATCCTTATTATCCTTAAACCCGCCCCTCCCCCCTCTGAACCAACATCCTCCTGACTGCTTTTCTGTTTTTGTTTTTGTTTGTGTTTTTGTTCTTGTTTTGTTTGTCGACCTGACTCATAATGTAAAGCGTCTTTGGGTCTAGAAAAGCGCTATATAAATCCCATTTATTATTATTATTATTATCATCCACAAATACAGCTCAGCTTTAATGTGAAGCCTCACCTGATTCAGGCATGCCCTGAGCACGCTGCATGCGGGAGTTGAGCACCTCTTTGGCGGAGACGAAGAAAATGCGGTTGGGTGCCTGATCGCGATCCACAACCTTCAGCTCCTCCACCAGGAAGTTCACACAACGGTCCGTGTGCTGCTTCCTCACCTGCAGGAAGGTGACCATTTTCATTGTAAAAACTGTACAATGTTAAACCAATTACTAAACCCTAGCTTATGCCAGTTTTGCAACATAAACACATCCTGTAATAATGAAATATTATTCATTCTGACATGAGACAGATACAACAGACTCACATCCTCCATGTACTCTGGCTCATTGGCTGAGGCATCCCAGCGGTTGTTGAGGATGAAGATGTTGGGTTTTGACAGACGTTCGTTGACTTTGTGGAAAAAGTGTTTTTCCTGGATGATCGAAGGGGAACGTAATTAAAATCAGAAGGAAAGGAAATGGTTGCTTTTCCTTTTTTGTAAACAATCGATACACTTTCCTTTAGGAGGTTTACAAAAAGGAAGATTCTAAATGTATCTTATTTTTTGACTTTGCAGGACAAACCTGTGCAGACCAATACAGCTAAATGAGTTGGCTACATGGATCACATTGTTCATGGTTGGCACAGCCAGACAGAAACTCTAACTGACACTCGATACTGCTGCTTGAATATCTTACATTATTTACACGATGCCTGAGATTTATTCGATGTATAGGCAAAGAGGGGATTGTGTATTTGCTTTCTCTTTAAGAGCTTCTGCCGGTAAGGAGCTCTGAGATTGACTCTCTCTCTGGCATTACATCGCATGAATGCCTGAGCAGACATAAAAAACTGTGGGGCCTCTGCTGCTGCATACAAACATGAGCAGCCACATTCCTCATTATGTAACCAGCTGAGCATAGAAAACATCCACACTGGCCCTTTAAGTTGGTGGAAAACTTGCTTAGCCTGCTAGTGTGGTGTGTTATAATTAGTTATGACAATGTCAGTGTTCAGATGACTGTACTGTCACCACCGCGAGTGGACATACAACACCTTTAAAAGAACATTTTGTGATAATCCATGGAAGCAGAGATTGTAATGTCATCATGTCCAAACTTACCATGTGTACACACAGAACCGACCTTTGAGCAATCGTTTAATAAGTGATGAAAGTTGTTTTAAGATGTCGTGTAAATGTCACATTTTCACAAGGCTCAGAGGCTTTACCGTGTTCATAAGCGTTGATTCAGAGTTGGCCACTAGCACAAATACATCGGCATCCAGGCAGAATTTGTCAATCCAGCTGTCCAGTTCAGATGTGACATCTGTCCCTGGGCTAAGGCAGTAGAAGAGAGGGTGAGTAAATAATGATTACTGATTTTATTTTTGTGAAGCTCACATTTTGATTTCCTAGAAACTATCAACTTCATATTAACAAACTTTCCGGATTGGATTAACGGAGCCCGTTACCTGTCTACGAGTACCAGGTCGTCTCGGAGCAAAGCACACTTTGTCTTCGGCCAAAACACACGGACGAGACAGCCGGCGTCCAGACTCTCGTCCATGTGGAGCGCGTGAGCCAGCTGGTTTACAGTCTGCAGAGGAGATGTAAAAAGACTCAAATTAGGGTTGTGGATGTTACAAATTATTCGATAGCATGTTTCCTGTCGTTGATGTAGCTATGGATATTATCTCAGGCTGGAGAAATCAGAGCACAATCATTTTTCTTCAGTTACTTTTTTATAAATTAAAAAGTTGGTTCTTTTATTTTACCTGTTTTTACAGAAGGGATTCCATGTTTCTAAGTTGTACAGTGGGGCAAAAAAGTATTTAGTCAGCCACCAATTATGCAAGTTCTCCCACTTAAAAAGATGAGAGGCCTGTAATTTTCATCCTAGGTATACCTCAACTATGAGAGACAAACCGAGAAGAAAAAATCCAGAAAATCACATTGTCTGATTTTTAAAGAATTTATTTGCAAATTATGGTGGAAAATAAGTATCTGGTCAATAACAAAAGTTCATCTCAATACTTTGTTATATACCCTTTGTTGGCAATGACAGAGGTCTACGACATTAAATACATCAGCAGTGACCCCACTGGTGATTTTTTGAAGAGTTTACGTGTCTGAAAAACGAATGGTTGTTACCGAGTGGCTGAATAGGACTACAGAAATTGTCGAGGCCGTTGTACGTCATTACGCCTAACACGTAAACACTCCCGCTAAATTTAGTTTTTCCCCCTGTGTTCTGCTTGAAAGCAAGTACATGCCTATCTTTAGTATCTGTATATCTA